AGCTGTGCGGTAAAGACAAATGTTATTTATTTATTTAATTTACAACATTTATATGCCACCCTTCTCACTCCAAAGGGGACTCAGAGCAACTTAAAAGGTATATATACATATATTATAACATAGTACAATATCAGTATTAAATATTACTATATTGTACTGTACCATTATATTGTAATATTATTAATGATATTGCATATAATATAAATATATAGTTATAATATATTATTAATATTAGTATTATATTGCATTACATTATAAATATTATATGTATATACATTATATTATATTACATTACTAGCCATCCCCTGTCACGCATTGCTGTGGCCCACATGGGGGTTCTGGGTGGAGGTTTGGCCCAGTTCTATCGTTGGTGGGGTTCAGAATGTTCTTTGATTGTAGGTGAACTATAAATCCCAGCAACTACAGCTCCCAAATGTCAAGATCCTATTTTCCCCAAACCCCACCAATGTTCAAATTAGGCATATTGAGTATTCTTGTAGAGCTTGGTCTAGATCCATCATTGTTTGAGTCCACAGTGATCTCTGGATGTAGGTGAATGACAACTCCAAAACCAAAGGACACTGCCCACCAAACCCTTCCAGTATTTTCTGTTGGTCATGGGAGAACTGTGTGTCAAGTTTGGCTCAATTCCATCGTTGGTGGGATTCAGAATGTTCTTTGATTGTAGGTGAACTATAAATCCCGGCAACTACAACTCCCAAATGACAAAATCAATTTTTTTTAGTGAAGGGCATACAGTGGGTTGTTAGGTGTCTTGTGTCCAAATTTGGTGTCAATTCCCCCAGTGGTTTTTGAGTTCTGTTAATCCCACAAACAAACATTACATTTTATTTATATAGATAATATATTATTAGCATAGTACAATATCAGTATTAAATATTACTATATTGTACTATACCATTATATTGTAATATTATTAGTAATATTACATGTAATATAAATATATAATATCATATTATTAATATTAGTATTATATTGCATTACATTATAATAATATAAATATTATATGTATATACAATATATTATATTATATGATATTACATTATATTATATTATTAGAATAGCACAGGAAATGAAATGCAGGTATGCTATGTGTTGGACAGAGTAAAGTGCAGAGAGAATTGGGAATGTGTCCCTGGGTTCAAATCAACACCCTCTCGCACTTTTGTTTCCTCCTCCACACTCGCTGCGCGGGAGACTTTCAACGGCAGAAGGGCGAGAACAGGCTGTAGCTTTCCCTCCATTGTGTTGTCCTCCCCAAGGGCCTGAATTGTTCGCCTCCTCTTCTCGCACGATCCATACATTTCTGCCCTTTTAAGCTGTTCTGACTAGGTAGGTAGGCATTTTAGCTGCTTTTAAGGCACCCCAGGACTTCGGTGATTTGGAAGCGGAGCTGCAGATACGTACAGCGGGGCTGGAGGTTGCCAATTCAGACGCCAACTGGTAGTTATTCAGCTGCAGGTTCTCGGGGGGAGTGTTGAATGCCCCAAAGAGACCTATGCAGAGTGGAGGATGAAGTTCATCCACCAGGAGTGGGGCAAAAGGAGGCAAATGGGAATCCGATCAAGGTCTAAATCTGATCCGAGACCCCCCAAGCGCCTTCAAAAAAGGTTCCTATGACTTTTCCAGCCCATATTCCCCAAAAACTGTGCTTTCCCGCAAGCAGGGAGTACCCTTCGTTGTTGTTAGTTCAGTTTCAACTAGGAGTAGGCATTCGAAGGCCCTCCAGAGGCATTGGACGCCAGTGCTTGGACCATTGGCCATGCAGTGTTGGTCCAAGACATGTGGCCATCACCAGGTTGCCCTTGCTTCGGCTATTAGCCTTGCCTTTGAGACTGCACAAGATGAGCCTCTGTTATTGATATCCGAGAAAGCCCAAGGGCACACGAAGCGCCCCTTCAGCCAAGGCACAAACAGTACTCCATTGTATTCAGGAGCTCCAATGATTCAGGCAACCTTTAATGAAGACCCCAATGAAGGCACGCTCAAGAGACCAGCAGTTTTCCCCCATTCTGCCAAAGACCTCTGACACATTTATGGCATTTTATTATCAGAGCAATGTCTCAAATGTTTAAAAGCAATGCCCTAGCCTTGTCTTACTCAATTGCCGAGTATGCCCACCCTGTTTGGCAAAGGTCTACCCATGCAAAGTAGTGAACATAGCATTGAATGAAACTTGCAGAATAATCACAGAATGTCTTAAACCTACACCTGTTGATAAACTCTCATTGAACGAAACATGCAGAATAATCACGGGATGTCTTAAACCTACACCTGTTGATAAACTCCCATTGAACGAAACATGCAGAATAATCACAGGATGCCTTAAACCTACACCTGTTGATAAACTCTCATTGAACGAAACATGCAGAATAATCAAAGGATGTCTTAAACCTACACCTGTTGATAAACTCTCATTGAACGAAACATGCAGAATAATCACAGGATGTCTTACACTTACACCTGTTGATAAACTCTCATTGAATGAAACATGCAGAATAATCACAGCATGTCTTAAACCTACACCTGATGATAAACTCTACAAGCTACATGGCTATCAGCCTACTCCCAGTAGACTCAAATCAAGGAAAAATTTCGTGAGCACCACCACTCCTCTTGGCGTCCCCCCAGCAACAGCAAGGGTATCCCCCTGGGCAGCTAGACCAGGAAATCCCAACTGGATGGCCCCCCATGAGGGTCTTCCTCCAGGGGCAAACCAAGAATGGGCAACTTGGAAGTCCCTGAACAGACTCGGAAGTGGAGTGGACAGATCAAAAGACAACCTGGCAAAATGGCACTACCTAAAAGAATCCCACACCTTGTGTGACTGTGGAGCAGAAGAGACAACTCCGCATCTGTATGCTTGTCCACTATGCCCTGCCTCATGTACAGAGGAAGAATTGTTGGAGGCTGTTACTCGTTTTTGGTCAAAAGATATTTAGCCGCATTCACTCCTATTTTTATCAGTTTTATACTAATTTATGCAGTGCCTTTGATACGAAATAAACAAATAAAATCAGAGCCATATTGATGCTTAGATACTCCTTGCAGACCAACTGCCTGTCGCTTTCACACTAAGACTTCTCCATAGAGCAGTGAAATATATTACTGGTTGTTGATGACTGCAACTCCCCAGACAATAAAAAAGAAGAGAAAGAGATATCACAAAATCTTTATATATATTTTTGACAACCATGGCATAAAATGAATACAGTTCCCATGTGGAGGGAAGGCGATCAGCAGTGGAACTGTTGTAGTTCAGCCTGTGATTGTGTCTGATGTCAATGGGGATTATGGTTTTCCTGCACCTGTGTCTGATGTCAAGGGGACGAGGGTTTTCCTGGGCCTGAGTCAAGTCCAGGCTTTGTTGAAAGGCCTGGTTCTGGTCTTGCTGAGAGGCCCGAGGTTAAGCGTAGATTATCCTGTAGATTCTCAAGGTCAAATTCCTGAAAGAGGCCCACGGCAGCCTTTCTCTCAGAAACTGTCTTCTGAGGATGATTTATCAGGTGCAGAAGTTAATGAGAATGGAAGACAAGACTTTTGTAAACTAAGACAAAGTTCCCAAGATCCCTGAAGGTCAGTCTGCTAGAAAAGAGAGATAAGAAATTTTATCTGGCTGTAAAGGCAGAAAGAATGTTTTCCTTTCGTTTCATGAGACAGGATAGGCTTTAAATAGGTCGGGAAAAGGATTTTAGCTCAGTCTGGTCAACGTTGCATTTTCATGATGGTCTTGTTTCCAAGTGGATTTCTAATTTCATGTTTCAAGTTTTGCCAAGTTCCTATTCTGGGCATTGGATCTCCATGCTGTTTAGTTCTTTTGGATTTTGCATCCTTGGATCTTGTGTTTTTAGTTTTGTACCTTGAAGTGCATGTTACATTTGGAAAGTACTGTTTTGGACTATACAGTTTCTATCATTTTTATTGCTTGGCTTACAAATATCCTTCAATAAACTGCTCACTGATTTTACTTTACTGGTGTGGCGTTTAAGGACAGAGGTGTTCCTGCTCTGGGATACAACAGGGACAAACTGGGCATCTTTGGGTATCTCTGTTCTTCTCGAGTGGAAAAGCTTTCCAAGACTCAGCTCTTTAAACTGTGCTTTAAACTGTCAAATGTTCACTAACAAAGAAGTGTTTCCAGAATATCATTAAAAGTCCCTTGAAGTCAGAAAGGACTTTTAATGATATTCTTGCCATTTTGTACACCAGAACTACCAAATTGTTGTTGTTGTTGTTGTTATTTACAGTATTTATATTCCGCCCTTCTCACCCTGCAAGGGGACTCAGGGTGAATTACAATGTACTGTGTTTGTGTTTATTGTAATGTTATTTTGTTTCTGTATTCATATTTTTTTCTCCTGTAATTTTTATGATTTTGCTTGTTTATGTTTTGGTTTTATTTTCGCTGTAATATGTTGTCCGTGCTTGGCCCCATGTAAGCCACTCCGAGTCCCCATCGGGGAGATGGTGGTGGGGTATAAATAAAGATTATTATTATTATTATTATTATTATTATTATTATTATTATTATTATTACATATACATAGCAAACATTAAATGCCATAGGCACACAATATATATAGACAGACACTCAGAGGCTATTTAACATTCCAGCTTCTGGCCACCAGGGGAGCTGTCACTTCATCATCCGTTTGTGACACTGATGAAGTACTTCCTCATTCTTTGCATACTTCCTGAAGACTTTTATGGCCTCGTAAATCAGTTAAATTAGCCTCCCCACATAAGTGGTGCCTAAATTTCCTACTTGACAAATGCAACTGTCTTTCAGTCTGCAAAGGTTGACAACAAGCTACACAATTTCAGTCTGACCTGGGCAGACTTTGAACCCATGACGTTTCGGTCAGTGATCTTGATGCAGCTGACTCCCAGTCAGCTGTGCCACAGTCCCTGAATACCTTAAACATTTTCTTCGAAAGCATGATTATCTATTGCCCTTTTCTTTCTTTCTTTCCTTCCAGATTTTGGGTTTGGCAACTTCTACAAGAGTGGTGAGCCCTTGACGACATGGTGCGGGAGCCCCCCCTACGCAGCCCCCGAGGTCTTTGAAGGCCAGCAGTACGAGGGTCCGCAGCTGGATATTTGGGTATCTCCACCATATTAAGTAAAGCGTCCTTTTTAAACAACCCGCGCCCTCCTTCCCTTTGGCTTCCTTTCCTTTGCCGGCCCATGGATCCCTTGCTCTTGCCTCTTTCTGCTGCAGAGGCTGGATAGCTTTGAGGCCTCCCTTTGAACTGGGCCACTCTTGTGAGATGGGGAAATAATTCAGCGGAGGCAGAGAGCTGACCCTTTCCTTCCTGAATCTGCGCAAGGCCAGCCATGCTGTGCTTCAGAGCATTAATCCCTCCTGCCTGCCTTCGGAGTTCAAACCAAATCCTCTCCAGCGCCAGAGGCGTTGTCTGAGTCATTTGCACATGGCTGCTATCTGCCCTCTTTTTGTTGAGCGGACAGCCTGTTTCTCGCTGCAAGCAGGTGCATGCAGAGGAGCCCAAGTGAGCGTGTGCGTGCGATGTGTGCGTGTTTGCCTAATGGAAAGGGGCTCTCGGGGTGACAAGGACGCCTCGCAAAGTGCAAGGAGGAGAGAGGGAGAATATGCTGAGCCAGAGCCCTTAAACATCTTAAGGCATTGTCAAGCATGCTGCTCCTCATTTGTTCTCCTTTTTCTAATTGGGTCTTAGTGTCTCTGAGTATTAGCAACGCCATCCTCACAGCGGGGTTTTGCAGGCGCTTACGGGGCCGGATTTAGGGAAGGAGCAGAGACGTGCCAGGAGGAATATTTCACTGGTGCTTAGCTCAGCAGTTTGTGAACAGGTTTGCAGTCATGGGGGTTGTACTCACAGGTCTCTCCCGCAAGGAAAACCGTTAAGGTTGGGACATATTTTATCTTCTCAGGTACAGATGGGTTTACTAACAAAAGACCCTCTCCATAAATATACAGCAGAGTAACTTAGCAGCAGTAGCGTGACCCAGGACCAGTAGCCCAAAGGGATAAAAAGAACAAAAACACACAGACCAATGTTATCTCTTCTGTAGGAGGCTTTTCTTTATAGCAGAATAATATGGTTGCACTATTTACAAGCACAAGATTTCCATAACACAAGTAAATGTCAACCTTCACACTGGAGCTTCTCACACAAGGCCTACTCATAACGAGGCCTACCATGTTGCGCTAAGCGTATTTCAAGTCCAGTGCAGAAGACACAATAACATTGCACCCAGGCAAGAGGGAAAAAAACAGAAAAACTTTACTCTTATCAGCGGAGTTAAAACATAAACTTTCAATGTTACATACAGTGCAAAAATGATCGTGCCATTACTGCTCAAGCAGGGAGCTTTGAGATGGTTGAACAGAAGCTCTCCGAAGCTCTAGGTGCTCTTACTGCCTATTACAGGGGAAACCAGCTGATCCCTAATCCATCTAAAACACAGACATGTGCCTTGCACCTTAAAAACAGACAAGCATCCCGAGCTCTGAGGATGACCTGGGAAGGAATCCCACTGGAGCATTGCAGCGCACCCAAAAACCTGGGAGTCACTCTGGACCATGCTCTTACCTACAAGAAGCACTGCCTGAATACCAAGCAAAAAGTGGGCGCTAGAAACAATATCATACGAAAGCTGACTGGCACAACCTGGGGATCACAACCAGACACAGTGAAGACATCTGCCCTTGCGCTATGCTGCTCTGCTGCTGAGTACGCATGCCCAGTGTGGAACACATCTCACCACGCTATAACAGTGGATGTGGCTCTTAATGAGACATGCCGCATTATCACGGGGTATCTGTGCCCTACACCACTGTTATCAGTACTAGTCCACACCTCTTGCATTCCAGAGTGATGTATGATGTACAACGCTGATGCTGCGTCCATTGCTCTATACACTTTGATTTATGACCTCTCTAGGAATGCTGTTCCCTCCATAGTACAGTTAACTCTTTCCACACAGGAATACACTCGGCACATAGCACTGCATTTTAAACATACATACTTTGAAATCTACATTACACATTTCAAACAGCTCCAACAGGGCTTTCCTAATTATTATTAGCAGCTGCACATAATAATTAACAGCATAAGCTTTTCTTTAACACACACACACACTTGATCCTGTTACGACTTACTGTAACATACCTCATACTCTGAGGCCTTTCTCCCACAGCGAAGGCTACTACCACTGAGACCTATTCTCCCACTGAGGCATTCTCTCACACAGAGAGGCTTCTCTCACACCGAGAACTCTCTCAGACTGAAGCATTACTAAGCAACAGTCACACCTGCTTATACTGAACTACAGCTTTTGCTGAGTCATTGCATCCATTTAATCCTTTCAGTGTTTGGCGCACATTTTGTAATTAAAAATACATAGTTAATTTTTAATATTTCTGACAGATCCCACAGTGGGAGAATTACAAATGCCCAAAACCCTTCGAGTTGGAATTGGCATTCCTTCTACTCAGGAACAAGGCCGGGCCCAAGTTGTGGAGAGTGTTGCCTTCTGCCATGTGATGAGACATCCACGTTGTTTGACGGATAAACACAGCCCAAAAACAAGCATCAAAGGAACAGATCTTGCCTTGTTGCCCTGTAACTTCCAAATGAACCCGGTGCACGCCCTGTCCGCACCCAGAGATTTACAGCGGTTGAGGCGAGGATGGGCTTGGACAAGCAGAGGTTGGGGAGATGTTTGCAGAAGTGGCTGACTCTTTGCCAGGTTGCTCACAAAAGAGCTGCGGAAACAGCATGAGAAGTGAGAGAAGTGTATTGTGGTCTTTTCCCAAAAGTGCAACCTGTATTCCTCCTATAATGAGCGGATTGGGATGAATAGCCGCGATCGCCATCACCCCAAATCTGCTTGAGACAAAACAACTCTTACCAGGGAGAACAGAGAAAAGGCAGTAAAAGTACTTGGACAATTTGCATATAAAGCCCTGTCCCTCTCAGAAATGCCTTCACGCAATGTCCCCACAGAGTTTAAAGCGTCCACTCATGCTCTTAGATAATGTCCATCCGTCCAAAAGAGAGCTCAGCTGTCAGCATCTCTCTGGTGCTTTGACTTTGCCTCTTCCCTCTCCCGCCTTATGTAATAACTCTTTAACAGGCTTTGCATAAAATCAGGATCCGAGGCTCTTATCCTGACCTTCGCAAGGATTTCTTCCCCTAAGCTTTCTCAAGTTGGGGACTGGAACAGATCAGATTTGTGTTTCCCGAGCAGCGGGGGATTCATGCAAAATTTGGGGTGGGATTCATACACGGCTTGAGCATACTCATCCTTCTGATGAAGGTGGCTCGCACTTTTTGTGAGTAAAGCCAACTTAAGATTCCAACCTCCTTCATCAGTATTATTTGTTCTACAATTCCAGAATTGCAGAAATAATTGTAGAGTTTTTCAGTTTATGTAGAACATATCTACAACCTTTGAGGGTATATTTGTGCTGTACAACTAACCCATTTGTTTGCTCCAACAAATGGTTGGATTGACTCAGTGATTGACTGGCCAGTTTAGACATAGATCAATTCCATTCCCATTGATCTATAAGGGTTGAATGAAAAGTAATGCCTCCACCTACATAACTCCTCAATAGACGGCAGTACTGGTATGGGGCAAGTACTGGCTTGTTCAGTAGACTCTCCTCTACAGTTTCATTTTGATGGGAAGCTTTAGCATTGAGCGGTTGTGTTGTTAAAGTGCAAAGTATGGAACCCTGCGCAGATGGTCAGTCAATGCGACTTAAGCAACGTGCAGTCATTGAATTTTTGACAGCAGAAGGTGTCACCCCAAATTTCAAGCATAATCGGCATTTCACAAGAATGTGTGGGTCACATTATTGCTTTGCTTGGCTGTCGGAAGATCTGTGCACGATGGGTAGGTACCCAGGATGCTAACACCTGAAATGAAAGCACACAAATTTCTTCCGTGACGACTTCAGAAAACTTGTTCATCGTTGGCAGAAATGTATCCAGTTGTCTGGTGATTATGTGGAAAACTGAATAGTGGTAGTTAAAGAGCACATTCTAAGGATTATTTCTGCATTTGATTTATTAAAATATTCCCATCCAAACCCAAGTAACGAAGGCGGAGGCACTACTTTTCATTCAACCCTCATACTCTAATCTGAGCTGGCCTTTGAATTTAAGCTGGTATTATTTATTTATTTGCAGTATTTATATTCCGCCCTTCTCACCTCGCAAGGGACTCAGGACGGATTACAATGCCCATATGCATAGCAAACATTCAATGCCAATTTGACATACAACATACATAGACAGACAGAGGTAATTTTAATGTTCCAGCCTTTTCCGGCTTCATGAGAGTATGCTCGATTCCAGCCACAGGGGGAGCTGGCACTTCACTATCCGGTTGTGACACTGAGTCCTTTGATGGAATACTACCTCATTCTTCTGCATGCTGCTGGAAGGTTTTATGGCATTGTAAATTAGTTAAATAAGCCTCCCTGCATAAAACGGTATCTAAATTTCCAATTTGACAGATTCAACTGTATTTAGGGCTACATAGGCTGACAGCAAGCTAGACTAATGGCCAGAAGCTGACTCCGATCCGGGCTGGCTTTGAACTCGTGACCTCTTGGTCAGTAATTCAGTAGTGATTTAATGCAGTTGGCTCCCAGCTAGCTTCGCCACAACCCGGTACCTCTTCTGTCTGGTGTTCCCAATTCTATGAAAGGGTGTCTCCCTGCCATGCTGTTCAGAGGGTTGATGTTGTCCCACTTAGTGTGTCATCTACTAAATGCATCAACAACACTGTAATGGAGGACAAATATGGAGGCGTCACTTCCAGATGGATCCAGCTGGTTAAGCAGAGACCACAAGTCTCTAGTTGGATCACAGACATAGAGCAGATGGAGAAGGTATTGCCCTAGCTCTCTGAGATAGTCCATTCCAGCATTCATAACCCTATCTAACAGGAAAAAAATTAATAACCAAGTTATATGGGGAATTATTGGAATGGGCAACAGAAGAAGAACAAATTAAGGGCTGTGTGATAAAATGGGCCACAAATATTGGACATACAATAAGATTAGAAGAATGGGAAAAGATATATTATAATTATATATTTTATATTAAATGAAATATTACTAATAATATTACAGTTAATGTTATAGTACGATGTAACATATAATATTAATATTGTGCTATGATAATATAATATATTGTATTTACTTTTTACTTGTAAGCTGCTCTGAGTCCCCTTCAGGGTGAAAAGGGTGGCGTATAAATAAATAATAAATATGGAATAAAAAATGAAAATATACATACTCATATGATTGAAAAGAAAATTGGTACAAGATGATCTTCCAGGGGGACCTAACACCACAGAAATTATATTTTCAAACCAGGAACAGAAAATAATCTAATTTTGTTACATATAATAATAATGATGATAATAATAATAATAATAATAATAATAACTCTTATTATTTTGTTACATAGTGTAATCATTCCAAATACTGGCTGTTAGGAATTGTCGAAGTCCAAAATACCTGGAAGGCCGAAGTTTGCCCATGCCTGCTATATAGCCTCCCTTTTGCAGCGAGTCCAACCTGGGAGCATTCACCAAGAAGGCCTTTGTTTACCTTTCCACCAAACATGCCTTGAGTGCAATGAGATTGTGGAACGGTACCCAAAGATCTCTCTTACAAGAGAGCAGGGCCTGGACCCAAGTCGTATTTTGGATCGTTATTGCAATTTGGTAACATTTAAGATGTAGATGAGACTTTGGCTGTGGGGTAGATTTGGACCTTAGCTGCTGTGGACCTGTGCTGAGAGGCAAACCCAGAACTCCTCTGTTTGTTTCCCTGTCTTCCAGAGCATGGGTGTCGTCCTCTACGTTTTAGTCTGCGGAGCACTGCCTTTCGACGGGCCAACCCTCCCCATCCTGAGGCAGCGGGTTCTTGAAGGAAGGTTCCGGATTCCCTATTTCATGTCCGAAGGTAATACCGCAGTTTTGGTGAGATTTAAATTTTCATGTTTTGGTTATGCAGCATCATTGTGGCGAGGATGCAGAGAAGGAAGGAGAGGCAGAATTCTGAAGTCAATCCCAGTTTGTCACTCTGACTAAGAAGAAGGGTTGTGCCATTGCAACTGGGGCTATAACTCTTAGTGAAAGAGACATAGACGTGACATCTTTCCCCCAGGGGATTGCTCCTTGCCTTCCTTTAAAGAACTGGAACTCCCAAGGACCAAAACACTGTAGATAACTCAAAATAGGTTTTATTGTTCACAAAGAGTTATCCCTTTAAGGCAATAAGCTGGAAGTTTCAAAGGGATAAAGGAAATATACATTACAGTCTCTGGTTGTCTTGGGTCCAAGGAGATTTTGCAGCTAGGAAGCTTTTCCAGGTTCCCTCTTTCTCAATGGCTGTAAATGCCTGAACATTCACAGCCCCAATCCAAATGGCCTATATTTTGAAGGCACGAAGCTTTCCTCTGGTGCCACAGGACCGGTTTGAAGGCGGTTGGGTCTCCTCAATGATGTCCAGGGCGATCTGGGCATGAAGTATGAGTCCCAAGGGTAAAAACCTTAGAATTGGTGATGAGAGGTAACTTAATTAAGGGCTTTAGAGCCAAGTCTCTTTTTTCACGTCTATCTGATAGAAAGTTTGATGGCAGAATGGAAAAGGAAAAGCTCTACCCTCCTCCAGGAAGAGGTGGAGCCAAGCAGTTGAGCTGAGGAAGCAATATAACTGGTGCATACAACATTGATTGACAGTTATAAATAACCAATCAATCCAACTATACATTTACAAAATAAGCAAGTATGGGCATGTTATACAGTTGAAACCCTTGCAAATTAAAGTTCTACAGGGACAGGGATATTTCGAGCAGAACAATAACCATTGCAAACATTAAAGAGGATCTTAAATTAGATGCCAGAAAGCTTAAGCTAGTGTTTCTCAACCTTCCTAAAGCCACGACCCCTTAAGACAGTTCCTTATGTTGTGATGACCCCCAACCATAAGTTTATTTTCGTTGCTACTTCATAACTTTGCCACTGTTATGAATTGTAATGTAAATATCTGATATGCAGAATGTATTGTCATTCTCTTGACCAAATTTGGCACACAGAACTCCCACGACCAACAGAAAATACTGGAATGATTTGGTGGGAATTGACCTTTGGTTTTGGAGTTGTAGTTCACCTACATCCAGAGAGCACTGTGGACTCAAGCAATGATGGATCTGGACCAAACTTGGCATAAATACTCAATATGTCCAAATGTGAACATTGGTGGAGTTTAGTGAAAATAGACCTTGACATTTGGGAGTTGTAATTGCTGGGATTTATAGTCCGCCTAAGAGTTTGATGATACCTTGGGATAGCATTTAAATATAAGTCAGGGATCTACTGAAAGGAAACTAAATCCCCTTCTGGCATTCCTACTTACCTACATGACGCTACATTAAAATGTGTTCTTCACATATGAACTCGTCAAGAAGAGGGGTGTGTGTGTGTGTGTGTGTGTGTGTGTGTGTGTGTGTATGAAATTACATATATCAGAATCCAGCTCTCTCTCTCTTCTCTATTTAACCAGACTGGGCCACAGCAACATGTGGCTGGGTACAGCTAGTATATATGTGTATGTGCATGTGTGTGTGTATATATGTATGTGTATGTATTTATATATGTATATGTATGTATATTCATGGCCAGGGAGCTGGTGTTTTGGGGCACGACGCAGCATACTCTGCCACAGGATCCCTGTGACGCATTAGCTGTAAAATAACAAAGCCTTTTCTAACCTCGTCCCGAAGCGTTCTTGTCCCTTGCACGTGTGGTGCTTTTGTGAATATGTGTTGGCCCTGTGAGTGAAAAAAAGCATTACGATTATTCCTTGTACCGCCACTGCCGTGAGAAATAATGGTGCTGCTCCCTTTGATGGTTCACCTGTGGAGAAAATGCATTTTGGCCTTTTGTCACGATTAAGGCATAGTTTTTTCAAAAATTATTTTTTATGGAAGCGTGACTTTTGCCTTTTTAACTCTCACCATTCCTAACAGCCTCGGGCCCTTTCCTTTTTCCCCTCAGCCGCTTAAGCGGCTGAGGGGAAAAAGGAAGGGGCCTGAGGCTGTTAGGAATGGTGAGAGTCGATGTCCAAAGCACTTAGAGGAAGGCCAAAGTTTGCCCATGCCTGCCGTAGTGACTGCTGGCATTGTTGATAAGAGGGCCTTGTTGCAAAGTCTCCGAGATCCAAATGGGTGATCCTTTCCCCGTTCCTTCTCTGCAGAGTGCGAGCATCTGATCCGGAGGATGCTGGTCCTGGACCCTTCCAAGAGGCTGACCATCGCGCAGATCAAAGAGCACAAGTGGATGCTGGTGGAGGTCCCCGTCCAGAGGTCGGTCCTCTACCCTCCGGGGCAGGAGAATGAGCCTTCCCTCGGGGAGTACAACGAGCAAGTGCTGCGGCTGATGCACAGCCTGGGAATCGACCAGCAGAAGACCATCGAGGTAAAACGGCGTCTCCTGCTCAGGAGGGGAAGTATCTGTCCTTCATGCTCCGGTCTTTTTGGTGTGCCATTGTCATGAAATCCACAAGCAGGTGGACAATTTCAACAGAAAGGAGGAAACTATGAAAATGAACAAAATCTGGCTACTCGTATTTAAAAAAAACTCTAAAATCAGGGCAGTAAATAAAGAGCAACTCTCAAAAAGAGGAGAATGGTCCTGTGTCCCATTATGTTTGAAAGGACAGATATTTATTTATTTATGACATTTATATTCCGCCCTTCTCATCCCAAAGGGGACTCAGAGCGGCTTACAAGATGTATGTGTATATATATACACACAAACACACACACACACACATATACACACACACACACACATACATGTGTGCCTTCCCAGATTAGGAATTCCAAGCAATTTGTCCCAAATGTACTTTATGAGAGAGTTAGAATTGTCTGCGCACCCTTTTACTCCCAAAATATCCATCCTACCTCACCTGGACGTGCCCAGCATTTTTAGTAATTTTAATCATTACGTTTGGCCCTGCCACAGGTTTTTAAACGCGTCGTAATTTTGTTATTGTTCTGCTTTGTTATGAGTTATTTATTGTTGCATTGTATTATTGTTGTTGTGTTTTGTTTATGATGTACTTTGGGCTCGGCCTCTTGTAAGCCGCATCAAGTCCTACGGGAGATGGTTGTGGGGTACAAATAAAGGATTATTATTATTATTATTATTATTATTATTATTATTATTACATACATGCATACATATACACACACACACATATTATACTATTAGCATAGCACAATATCAGTATTATATTTTCCTATATTGTACTATAGTATTATATTGTAATATTAATAATAGTACATGTAATATAAATATGTAATTATAGTATCATATTATTAGTAGTATTATATTGCATTGCAGTATCTATATAAATAAAGATGTAATGTTCGTTTGTGGGATTAACAGAACTCAAAAACCACTGGATGAATTGACACCAAATTTGGACACAAGACACCTCTCAGGCCAATGAGTGACCACCACTCATAAGAACACTGAAAAACACAGTGGAAGAGACTCAAAAAGCCAAAAAAAAAAACAGTACAACGCATGCGCAAAACCACATATATACACATATAGACATACATACACAAAGCACATATACACAGACTGGGCCACAGCAACGTGTGGCAGGGGACAGCTAGTAATATTATTATATATATATGCATATATATATATATATATATATATATATATACACACACACACACACACACACACACACACACACAATATATTATATTATATTGTAATAGCACAGGAGACAAGATGGAACTGTCCCCTTGCCCCCCCTCTCTTCACTCTGGCCCAGAGCGACAGTTGGTGCTAATACCTCTGAGCAAAAGATGACAGATGCAGGAGACAAGATGGAACTGTCCCCTGCCCCCCCCCCCCTTTACTCATTTTTAAGAAATACCGAGCATAAAAGAAGAAGAGTAAAACAAGGAAGCAAACCTTATTTTTGCTGTAAGCTTCTAAAATACGAGATTTGGTGACGGGCGGTTAAAAAATAAGAGAAGCGGGCACTTGTCTGTATGTTCTTGGTGTCTCTGCTAGGATTCCAAACCGAGCTTCTTACCAGAAATACATGCAGAAATGCTTCCCCGAGGAGTTGGTGCGATTGATATTTTTAGCCAGTAAGGAGCTTGCGGCATCGATTCTTTCTGGGGAGTGGGTTGGGAGAGGAGGGCTCAAGCCTCTTCTCCTGCTTTGAAGCATCCTCCCAAACCCAGCTCTGTTTCTGTGAATTTTCCCCAATTTCTTCAATGGGACCCCACTCGCACCTTTGTTTCCATGGCTATGTCAACCCTGTGATAAAGGGAATGGTAACAGACCCCCTGACTTCCCCTTCTCTTCTCAGTCCCTCCAGAACAAGAGCTACAACCACTTTGCTGCTATCTACTACTTGCTGGTAGAGAGGCTCAAGTCCCACCGGAGTAGCTTCCCTGTGGAGCAGCGGCTGGATTCTCGGCAGCGGAGACCAAGCACCATCGCGGAGCAAACCGTCGCCAAGGTAAGCGCCTCGCTGTAAGCATTGGAGACCACTTTGTGCACCTGAGGCTGCTGAGGAGGAAAAGGAAAGGGCCTGAGGCTGCTGAGGAGGAAAAGGAAAGGGACTGAGGCTGCTGAGGAGGAAAAGGAAAGGGACTGAGGCTGCTGAGGAGGAAAAAGAAAGGGACTGAGGCTGCCAAAAGGGAAAAGGAAAGGGCCTGAGGCTGCTGAGGGGATAAAGGAGTGGGACCGAGGCTGCTGAGGGGGGAAAGGCAAGACTGAGGCTGCTGAGGGGGGGAAAGGAAAGGGATCTAGGCTGTTGAGGGGGGAAAGGAAAGGAACTGAGGCTGCTGATGGGAAAGGACGGGGACTGAGGCTGCCAAGGGGGGGAAGGAAATGGAGTGAGGCTGCCGAGGGGGAAAGGAAAGGGACGGAGCCTGCTAGAGGAGGAAAGGGAAAGGGACTGAGGTTCTGAGGAGGAAAGGGAAAGGGACTGAGGCTTCTGAAGGGGGAAAGGAAAGAGACTGAGGCTGCTGAGGGGAAAGGACAGGGATTGTGGCTGCCAAGGGGGGAAAGGAAATGGACTGAGGCTCCTGGGGGGAGGGGGGAAGGAAAGGGACGGGGGCACTTCATGCGCTGTCCTACTAAAATGAAAAGCCATGGAGGCTGTCTTTGCGGTCACAACTCTCACTGAGAGACCCCCTTGCAAATAAGTTTTCATTCTTCTTTGGTGACCTACATTTGTGGATCCCAGGGATGAAAAGGATTTCAGTGTCTTCTCCTTCCTTGAAAATGATGTGGCACCAGCTATTCGTCTTGGCCTGGAATGGGGTTAGTGCAGCCTTCAGACCACATATATGTGGCACTCGGAGTCCCCCGACTGTTCCTTACTGTGCTCACAGTAAACATGATTAGGGCTTTGTCTAAACTAGCTGTTTAATTTGTCAGTCTGGAGTAGTCTACTGTAGATTGGCCCTGGATCACCTGTGATGGCCACACACATCAAGTCAAATCCTCCATGACTTCATGTCACTATCCAAGCTGAGACCACATCACTGGTCTGTCCCATTGTCCTCCCTGCAAGTGTGTGGCTGTCATGGTCAGAGTAACATTGAAGGGGTGGACTGGCCATCCTATTATGATCTCAGCAGAAGTGTTCGAAATGGGACCTCTGTGGCCAGAAAGAAACAACAGTAGTGGCTCAAGGATGACCTATCATCTTTCCTGTACACAGGGGAAGGATGATGGTGTGGACAATGAATGAGGCTGTAATGGAGCCAGTCCAGTTTCCTGATTGCAACAAACCCTGAGACACTCTAGGTATTCATGTAGAGAAAAGCTTACTGTAGCATAACAGGAGGTAGCATGATGTCACTTCCTGTTGCCATTTGGAGAAGGACTACGGGGGAAAATGGAGAGGAATGGTTTCCTGTGAGGGGCGGCAGTGCTCAGTTCCCCACCCTTTGCAGAAAGTGGTCTGTCTGCTGCAGCAACTTGGAAACCGGAAGGGGAGTTGAGGCCGCTGTCCTTGGCGCGTATGTTTGCAGCTGATCCCTCCCGAGGCCACCAAATTGGGGCTGGTCTAATCGCCAAGAGGGTGACCCAGGAAATCCCCAGCTCAGTCTTGCTCCTGTCACACATCCCGCGCCTCTCGAGCACCACTTCCTCTCCCTGCCCCTTCCTATTTTGCATTATGGGCACGGTCATATTGACCTTCCCGAAAGGGCACTCTGCGAGGATTACTGCCCGTGAAGCTGTCTGGCTGCTCCAGAGTGCTATGCAAATGCTGGCTAAGTAGCTGATGGCTTTCCCCACAAATCATCCCTCCCCTTGCTTTGGGCAGATGCTGCCGTTCTCCTGGCGTGCAACTCACAAGCCTCGGGGTAAGAACTGCCCCACATTAACGCTCTTGTCAAAGCAGCTGGTGGTACGGAAAGCGCTGGGGCTGCTCAACCCATTTTCAGACAAGTCAGCGAAATGCGCCAACAGCGATTCTCACGCTCTTCCCATTTTGGGAGCCCTGGTGTCTCGTCTCAAGGTCGTGCCGGTCAAACACATTGTGTCTTACATCGGCAGTAAGGACAACAGGGTTTGGTCGTGGTGGGGCCTGAGAGGATTTGGGGGCTCCAGTGAAGCTAGAGGCAGAGGGACATCCTCTGGGTCTAGCATTGTGACGCACGGTGTTGATGCAGCAGTCTCCTTGCCAGCGGGCATCTTGCAGCCTCTGAATCAGCCCGGTGCCAATACCTGGAGCATCCTGACTTGCATTTTCTTGCCATAACAATGGAGGCACAATGCCCAGCCCTTAGGAAAACTCTGCATCCCTGTGCCCTCTGCCACCCCCTTTCTGGGCCGCTGCCAAGAGTAGGAATACTAAAGACATTTAGTGCCGACACACTAAAAAAATGAAATAGCTCCCTGTTTTTTTCTTCTTGTTGTGCCTCTACCTTGTGGTGGGGCTTCCTTTGAGTCCTTCAGTTATGTTATTGGTTTTCTGTCTTTCTTCTATACTCAGGTCTGTTTCCCAACATTCTGGTACTCTTCGACCTTCCTTTCTGCTCAGTGTCCTTTTTGGTTCAATATTTGTGTTTTTTGAGCCGGTATGGTGCCGTACTTGGAGTGTTAGGCTTGGAGTGTTAGGCTAGCCCATTTGCAGCGGCAAAATAAACGTTGACCAGAAAGCTCTATAACAGGAGTCCTCAAACTTCTTAAACAGAGGGCCAGGTCACAGTCCCTCAAACTGTCGGAGAGCCAGATTATAATTTGAAAAAATATGAATGAATTCCTATACACATATCTTATTTGTAGTGCAAAAAACACTTAAAAACAACACAATAATTAAAATGAAGAACAATTTAAACAAATATAAACTTATTACTATTTCAATGGGAAGTGTGGCCTGCTTTTGGCTGATGAGATACAATTGTTGTTATTGTTGTGTGCTTTCAAATCATTTCAGACTTAGGTTGACCTTGAGTGAGGGCCGGGTAAATGACCTTGGAGGGCCGTATCTACCCCCCCCCCCCCCCGGGGCCTTAGTTTGAGGACCCCTGCTTTATAATAATGGGGTGGCCTGAAGATACAGAATGACAACAAACAGTTGAATGCTAATGTACTGAAGTGGTTTGCATAGTAGTCTAAAGATTCTGAGGAACATGGGTTCAAATCCCCATTTAGCTGTCATGTTTCCATTTTAGTGCAAGGCAATGGGAAGTCTCCTCTGAAGTTAGGAGTTGCTTTCTTTCAAGGCCACTTGGTCACCAAAAAGTGTCCTCTCTGTGTCCTTTATAGCTGTTGTAGTTCAGCCTTTGTGTCTGCACCAGATCTCTCTGGGGATTCTGGGAATGTTAGTCAGCCTGTTGACACAAGGGATTGTGGGTCTGCAAGACAGCAGGAATAGCTGGAGATTTTAGGCCCTGAAAATGAGTGGTTTCTGTCTGAAGGTCACATTCCAGCAGAGCTGAGCTCAGAAGATGATAATGGAAGTCAAGGTGGACAGACTAATGAGCAGTTAGATAGAAGATTTAGGTTTCGTCAACATAGGGTTTCACATGAAAAAGTCCGAAGGTCAAGAGGCTTGTTAGCAAAAAAAGAAGTACTTATCTGTTTCCCAGGGGAAAAAGCATGATTTTCTCTCTATATTAGCTAGTCCAGCAGAGTCTTTGGTCAGTAGAAGCAAAGCTGGAATTTGAATATAGAACTTCTGTCAAATCAAGGGATTTCTACTGCTATGTTCACGGTCCGTGTTTGTTCCTGTTTTCAAGTGTTGAGGACTGTTCGTGAATTTCATATTTTGGATTTATTCTGCTCTTTGTATTGTCGAAGGCTATCATGGCTGGAATCACTAGGTTCTTGTGGGGTTTTTTCGGGCTATAGGGCCATGTTCTAGAGGCATTTCTCCTGACGTTTCGCCTGCATATCTATGGCAAGCATCCTCAGAGGTAGTGAGGTCTGTTGGAATTAGGACAATGAGTTTATATATCTGTGGAATGGCTGGGGTGGGGCACAGAGCTCTTCTCTGCTGGAGCTAGGTGTGAATGTTTCAACTAACCATCTTCATTAGCATTTGAAGGCCTGGCTGAGCCTGGGAAAATCTTTTGTTAAGAGGTGTTAAGATGTGCCTGGTTGTTTCCTCTCTGCTGTTTTGCTGTTGTAATTTTAGAGTTTTTTAATACTGGTAGCCAGATTTTGTTCATTTTCAGGGTTTCCTCCTTTCTGTTGAAATTGTCCACATGCTTATGGATTTCAGTGGCTTCTCTGTGTAGCCTGACATGGTGGTTGTGAGAGTGGTCCAGCATTTATGTGTTCTCTAATAATCTGCTGTGTCCAGGTTGGTTCCTCAGGTGCTCTGCTATGTCTGATTTCTCTGGTTGAAGTAGTCTGCAGTGCCTTTCATGTTCCTTGATTCGTGTTTGGGCATTGCTGCATTTGGTGGTTCCTGTATTTCATGTTTTGGATTTATTCTGCTCTTGTATTCCTGGTTTCTGGATGCTTCTTATGTGCCTTGATTTCTGTGGATTATCTCTGATTTTTGAACTTTGTTTTCTGATACCGCTTGCTCTTTTACTTGGACTGGAGTGTATGTTCAGAGCAGAGCAGAAGCAACAAGAGCTGCTTTTTCTTCTCCCTCGTAGGCCCAGGCCTCCATGCCTCCGGTCACTCTGCGACCCCAGAACGTGCGGCTGCTGAGGTCTCCTGGCCTCCCACCGGCGTCTGCCGCCGAAGCCTTCTCCTTCCCTCTCTCGGCCTGCCAGGCGGAGGCTGCTTTCATGGAGGAAGAGAGAATCGACACGCCAAAGGTGAGATTTGCGTTTCTGCAATGCCCTGTGCTGCATCCCCTGACCTTCAGAGCCTGCTAACAGCGGCCTGATGCAACAAAGGGGTCGTCCCTTTCAATATCCCCAACCCCACCAGCATTCAAATTTGGATGTATCGGATGTTTGTGCCAAATTTGGTCCAGTGGATGAAAATACATCCTGCATAAAAGATATTTACATTACAATTCATAACAGTAGCAAAATTACAGTTACGAATGGTATGAGGAACTGTATTAAGGGGTCACGGCATTAGGAAGGTTGAGAAACGCTGCCCTATAGTGACCAAGGATATGCACGAACTGGGTGGGAAGGCAGCAGTGCCTTCCTCTTTGTGATCTGCTGAAGTATATCGTATCCGATCTTCGTGATGATATGAAGCCATCCTGACTGGTCACCAGCAGTAGCTCTGTCCTCAAAGTTAGTGGCTGTCAATCCATCCCAAAGTTAGTGGCTGTCAATCTATCCCATCGATTGGTGGTTGCTTTCTTCTCTCCTACTCTACTGAACACCATTCAGTGTCCTAGCGGGATCCCTGCTTCTGGTGCTGAAAAGAGAAATTGATGTTCCAGCTGGGAAAATAAATCTTGCTCTTGCCTCTGTTCTCCATGCCCTGGCTAACACCCACTTTAGATTACAGCGATAATACTTTACAGGGGCTTCCTATGGCGTTGATTGTTGCAGAATGCAGTTGTTTCAATGCTTGTATCAGAAGGGCTACTCAGATCAAGGCAGTGCGTAAGGATTTAAAGTTGTTGTCAGTCTGTTTATTTATTTATCTATCGTGTCAGGAGCGAACCAAACAGTTGTATTGTAATTTTAAAAAATGCACACACAAAGTTTGCAAACTTGGCATGTTGTTAAATGTCCTTTGACCAGTAGCTGCCACGGAGTGCCTCTGTTGTGGCTATAAGGGAGTCCTCCATTGTGCATGTGGCAGGGCTCAGGCTGCATTGTAGTAAGTGGTCTGGTTTGCTCTTCTCCACACTCGCATGTTGTGGATTCCACATTGTAGCCCCATTTCCGCATCTCGTGGTGCCAGAGCGCAGTCTGTTCAGCGCCTTCCAAGTTGCCCAGTTTTCTGTGCACCCCGGAAGGAGTCTCTCATTTGGTATCAGCCATGGATTGAGGTTCTGGGTTTGAGTCTGCCACTTTTGGACTCTTGCTTGCTGAGGTGTCTCTGTAGATCTTAGAAAACTATTTCTTGATTTAATACTCTTTCGTGATAATAATGGAAATGGCCAAATAATTGTGATAATAATGTTTTAACTGTTTTTAATTTATTTTTTATTTACTGTTTTATATTGCTGTTAATTTATCATATTTGTTGCAGCATCGAATTGTTGCCAGTGTAAGCCGCTCTGAACCCCCACCCCCTCACCCCTCAGGCAGGGTAGAAATATTGTTAATAATAATAATAATAATAATAATAATAATTTAAGTCAGTCTGTGAAGGGTTGAGAAGGGCAGAGTAGAAATATTGATTATTATTATTATTATTATTATTATTATTATAGTCAGTCTGAAACTATAAAACTCTGAATAGCTTGGCACCAGGATACCGGAAAGAATAGGATTTGGAAAGGTTAGTTTGGTGAATTTCCAGAATTCTGCAGCAGCAGCTAGAGAGGGTTTTGAAAGCGATGAGAGAGGAGGATGCTTTCTCGGTGACTGTGTCTACTTTTGGAACCCAGGCCTCTCTCTTATCAACCAGAACAATTATTTTGGGTTCATAGAAAAAAGCTGTTTTTGGTTTTCTAAGCATCTAGCAGCACTTGATAAATTGAAGCTACGTTGCTGCTATCATTTTAGAAAAGATTGATTTTGACAGTGCTTTATGTGCAAGGTTTCTGTGTTGTTTTGTGTCAGTATTGTGTTAACCGATTTTGCAAGACACTCTGGAGAAATGCTGGCAAGGGATGTTCAAAGAATCAGAAAGCAAACTCTGCCAGTGCGTTTGCTCTCTTTCTCTCTCTCTCTGGCATGTGGACTGCGGTTCCTCACTCTGTTAATGGCAGAACCGTGTTCAATTTCCTTGCGGTGATGTACAGTCACTCCTGTTCATTCACGGCGGTTGTGAGGGTGCCCCTCTTTGCTCAGCCTCACCGCAAAAGGTGCCAGAAGCAGGTTGTTAAAAAGGGAGAGGTGTGTGAAGAACGGATTCGGAGGCTTCCGTCCAGCAGCAGGAAATGGGTATTTTCCAGGATGAGTGGTTTGCAAAGCTCCCAAGATAAACATGGCACCTGAGCCACCTGACTCTTTCTGGGTCCAGGAAGGGCTGTTGCGAAAGACGCCTCCTCCAAGGAAAGAGCTGTTTCCCAGGAACGTATGCAACTCGACTCATATATTTTGAAAAGTATAAACAGTAAACTTTTCTGTAAAGCTTGATGTCGAACAAGCAAAATAAGAGATTAACATATATGTTAAATGATTTACAAGCATGTGCACCTGACATGGCCTTATTTTTATTTATTTATTTATTTATTATTTATTTATAGTATTTATATTCTGCCCTTCTCACCTCGTAGGGGACTCAGGGCGGATAACAATGTACATATACATGGCTAACATTCAATGCCATAGACACACAACATATATCGACAGACACTCAGAGGCTATTTAACATTCCGGCTTCTGGCTACCAGGGGAGCTGTCGCTTCACCGCCCATTTGTGACACTGATGAAGTACTTCCTCATTCTTTGCATGCTTGCTGGAGATTTTTATGGCCTTGTAAATTAGTTAAATTGGCCTCCCCACATAAGTGGTACCTAAATTTCCTACTTGACAGAGGCAACTGTCTTTCGGGCTGCAAAGGTCAACAACAAGCTACACAAATTGGTCAGAAGCTCACTCCAATCCAGGCTGGCTTCGAACTGAATGGAGCATGTGCGGTGCACCAATGCCAGGAAGGAGTAGTGGTTGCTCTTGATGTCTGACTGCAACCACATTGGCAGAGCACTGCTACATTGGAGGCCTCGGTGGCTCCAACATAGTTTAACTGTCCACACGTGTCTCCCTCTACGAACTATCAAGGACTTTAAGATCAATCAGGGATGCCCTGCTCTTGGTCCCACCGCCATCACAGTCACATTTGGTGGGGACGAGACAGGACCTTCTCCGTGGTGGCTCCTCAGCTGTGGAACTCCCTCCCTAAGGAGGTTAGATCTGTCCCCTCCTTCTAGACCTTCCAGAAGAAACTTAAGTCCTGGTTATGAAGCAAGGGTTTCAGATGCGACTGATTTTACTGGCAAAGATGAGATTTTATTGACTGCAATTTGGATTGATGTGGATGATGTTTTTAACCTGGCGGACCGTTTTAATGTATATTTATATTTATTTTTATGGATTTGATTGTATTTTATTATGTGTTTATATTGCGCCGACATTGAATTGTTGCCTGTTGGTAGCTGCCCTGAGTTCCCTCTTTAGAGGTCAAGAATGGACGGGGTATAAATGTTCTAAATAAATAATAAATAAACCCTTGTGCCAGCAGGACTGCTGACCAAAAGGTCGGCGGTTCGAATCTGGGCAGTGGAGTGAGCTCCCATCTGTCAGCTCCAGCTTACCATGCGGGGACATGAGAGAAGCCTCCCACAGGATGATAAAACATCCGGGCGTCCTCTGGTCAACATCCTTGCAGACAGCCAATTCTCTCACACCAGAAGCGACTTGCAGTTTCTCAAGTTGCTCCTGACATTAAAAAAAATCCTATGTTGAACATGGTTTGTGTGCCATGGGACAAGCCAAAGGTGAAGCAAGGAAAGCAACAGGGCATCAGATGCACGTGACATATGTCTTCAAAACCTTTCCTGTCAGAGAAGGAGGTCCATTGGTGACTGAATCTGATGTGTAATACCACTGACATTAGTGGTCATTCTCATCTTGTCCAGCTCAGCATCTTCTCTGAGCAACAGATGGTCCAGGAGGGGCTGAATAGGATTACCTTGGTTTTGCACAGTCGGCCATTTGTGTGCGTTGTGTACCTGAGCTTGTCAAGACAGCCGATCCTCCCACGCCTTGTTTCAGGGATCGGAAGAGGGGAACTTGCAACTTTTATCCCAAGTATATGGGAACAAAAAGGCTTCGAGGCCTCAAGAATTTTCCAGCATGAATGTTTTCAGTCCGGGGGCTCAAAGGGCTTTGGTCTTATCAGCCATTTCAAAGTAGTAGCTCTGGAGATTGATTAGCATCCCTCCCATGCTTTCGTGGAGTATCTCTCGTGGAGCTTCCCCCAATAAGCCTGGATTAAACTGGAGCAGGGCTGCCGATATTTAGCACCCCGGCGCTGGCTCTGGGCAATCTCTGAACCTTTTTCCCCCCAGCCATTAACCACTTAATGAAATTGGTGTGCCTTGAAGTACTTTCCGACATAGGCAGATCTGTCGGGGCTTTCTTAGCAAGCTGATTCAGAACGGTAGCGGGATCAAAGCCCTCCGTGAAGGACCGTAAGCCAGGTTTGTAGGCGTAGATGAGATCTTTTAGACTACCAACCTAAACGATATAGGGCTCTGTAGCTCATGAGCAGCCCCTTGAGTTAAACTATGCTCCTGATATCTTTGTGTTGGCAAACAAACTGGTAGCCAATAGCTCTATTTCAACAAGGGAGTTCTATATTCTTCCTGTAAGGTTAAGGTAAAGATTTTCCCCTGACATTAAGTCTAGTCATGTCCGACTCTGGGAGTTGGTGCTCATCTCAATTTCTAAATTGAAGAGGTGGCATTGTCCATAGACACCTCCAAGATCATGTGGCCTGCATGACTGCACGGAGCGTTTTTACCTATTGATCTACTCACATCTGCATGTTTTCAAACTGTTAGGTTGGCAGAAGCTGGGGCTAACCGTGGGAGCTCATGCTGCTCCCTGGATTTGAAGCTGCAAGCTCCTCTCCATCTCTAAGCTGAAGAGGTGGCATTGTCCATAGACACCTCCAAGGTCATGTGGCCTGCATGACTGCACGGAGCGCCATTACCTATTGACCTACTCA